TACTTATGGACTGCACTGTATGAGTTTCAGCAAGGCAGTCCTCCATTGTCCAAGAGGCTGCATGTCATTGAGTTAAAAACCATAGCATTGGAATTTAGAAAATTAGAAGTGGTAAAACTGTCCATGCCCTATACTTAACTTCATATTTCCCACCTGTTCTAGCAATTAAATGCCTGTTAAATGACCTCTGGGACTTTTTTGACTTACTTCTCTCAGATATAAAATCGCAGTAGAAATGGCATTGTCATGCCTGAAACGGAAGTTTCCACCGAGCTATTTCCAAGGGCTTGCTGATGCAGCAGACGTTTTTCTGGTTCTTGTAAATTGATGGATAATGTGGATTTACTTTACCATCAACTGACGTTTCAGATGCAGACCTTCAAGGCACATGATCCCAATGGTGGAAGAGTATTCTCACCGTGAGCAGAGACACCAGGACCCTCTTGAACATTCCAGACGTGTCGGAGCAGACAGCATCTTCCAGAGTCTCCCCGTACTCTGCACAACACAATCTCATGAATCTCTGGTCACTCGGTCACACCAGCAGCAACAGTCGGACAACATGCATCAATAAAAACCCCGCTCTCACACAGCATGTCCTGTGCCCTGCACGGGTCTTATGTCTTCATTTTCATACAAGCACAGGTCTGCTTGTTAATGTCGTGTTCCATTAGAATTGTACTGAACTGAAAACACTAAGAATCAGAAGGCTGTTTCTTTGGTTCCCTTTTCTCTACGTCATAACCATTACTGGTTAACGGTTTCCCCCTCTCCCCAGGTAAGAAATCCCCTTGAATGTCCTCCAGCATCCCAAAGGCATACAGATGATCTTTGATTGGCTATTATAAATGGTGGTAAAACAGTCCATGCCCTATACTTAACTTCACATCTTCCACCTGTGAAAGCGGTGAAATGCCTGTTAAAGTGGGGCCTTAAAATATAACCTTTTTAACAGCCAATCAAACCTAAACTGCATTCTTTTGGACTGTCGGCGAAAATTAGCACATGGTGAGAAATCCATACAAACATGTGGCCAACACATGGTATGTGGTGTGCTAACCATCACAGCACCACGACTCTCCTGACAATAATGGGATGCTGCAAATGAAGGCAGAGTTGTGTGAAGGGGATACTACCTTGGATAGCATGACATACCAGCATTATCCTGTTCCAGTTCATACTGGTTACATCTCCTGTTATACAAAAAATTCTTTGTGCTTTTGGTTGGC